CCCAACACTACTTTCTAGTTTTTTTTTTTTCTTGTATGCATAAATTTAGAGAAGGAAATTGTTATACTTTGAACTCCAACTTAAAGGTTATTTATTTTCAAAGTTCATACTTCTTCTTTTTTTAATATAGTAAAGGGCACATCCACTATTGATTTCTTCTGCCCTACAACATATTACACATAGATATACCCATTTTATTGTACAAGTTGAAATTTACATTTTCTATCAAAGCTACTCTAGTTACAATACATCTCACCCATTCATCTCTTTTTCTTTTATGGTTGTATGGCTGTCATCTAGAGGCATCATCTCCATCTAGCTCTTCTAGCTTGGCTAGAGAATGTTCACTCTCAAACTTTGTTGGAGCATCAAGTTGCTCAACACCCATTCATTTATTTTGGTGGTTGTGTAATCATGATCTTAGAAGCATCATTATTGCCACACTCTTCTAGCTTGGCTGGGGAAGCTCTATTTCCAAACTTTGCTGGAGTAAGCTTATAGTTTATCCTTACCAAAGAAAAAGAGAAGGGAAGACTGTACTCTGACCTTCTGACTTGGCTAGGGAAGTTGTAATCAAACTTCACTAAAGAATCTTGCACAAATCATCTTCACTAGATGAAAGGAGATGGCTCGTGGCATGTAACCCTTTACACATAAAATGGGTGCAAGCCAAAAGGCCCCTCTTCATCTCTCATAAAGGGCATTCTAGTCAATTTCCACATCATCATCACTACTGACTCATTAACCCTCTACCTCAACACAAACCCATCTTAAAATATATATATATATATATTTATTTATATATAGAGAGAGTAATAATATGGATGACCAAAATTTAGGACTAATGATTTGACATAAGTCACATTATTAAATTAATTGATATATATAATATCATAAATTTTAAAAAAATAATAATTAAATAATATAAAATCTATATTTTAATTTTTTAAATAACGCGATTTATACCACATCATTAATCTTAAATTTTAATTTTAATTTTTGATCTCATTTATTATTATTCATATTTATAAACTGACTTAAAAAACATTCTTGTGGTTAAAAAAATAAAATAGCTCGTATGAGAGCCTTGAAGCCCAGACTACAATGGCAGGTTAGAATTTCCTTAATTTTTTAAAAGAATTTTGATATCAAATTTTTTTATTGGTATGGTATTGAATGGGTGACATAAATACTTAATTTGTTTAATGTATTAAAGATTTGTTTATTTGGAAGTATTGAAGCATGTAAGCTAGAAAGAATAACTTCTGCACGCGAGCTGACTCGAAAATTTCATCGTCAAACCAGGCATGGGCCACACAAAGAAATTAAAGTCATGCTGCACCTTGGTCTAATAATACAAACAATTAATATAGGGGAGAGGTTTTTTTTAGTTGCAGAAGGAGATGAACCTTTTTTTACTATTCACTTCATTCCTATGCAATGAAATTTAAATTTAAAAGTTTTTACTTTTAATAAAAAAATTTAT